CGGCGACAGCCCCCCCCACTGGGCCTGGCGGGAGGGGCGCTCCGGCGTGGTGGACATGCTGGTCATGCGAGGAGCGCGCATCAACGTCATGAACCGGGGAGACGACACCCCCCTGCACCTGGCCGCCAGCCACGGGCACCGCGACATTGTCCAGAAGGTGGGGGTTCCCCCGGCCCCCTTGCCGCCAGTGCCTCCTGCCGGGGAGGGCTGGTGGTCCTGATCCACTTACTCTGTTCTCTCCTCCACCCGCAGCTGATCCAGTTCAAGGCAGACATCAATGCCGCGAACGAGCATGGCAACACCCCCCTGCATTACGCCTGTTTCTGGGCCCAAGAGCAGGTGGCCGAGGTGAGTGGGCCCCCCCGGGGGGGTGGCGGCGGCAACCGGCAGGCCGAGCCGAGGCTGGCCGTAGCAGCCGTTCCCTGGGTGGGAAAGAGGGCTGCGGGGGACTGCGTCGTCTCTTTGTTCTTTCACCTTCTCCTCCCTGTTGCTGCCAGGACCTGGTCGCCAGCGGGGCGCTGGTCAGCATCTGCAACAAATACGGAGAGACTCCCTTGGACAAGGCAAAGGAGCCCCTGCGGGACGCACTGAGAGGTGGTCTCTTTTTCTAACTCTTTTGCTGCTCCTGGCGGGTGGGGTCTGGCTTAGCTCCTCAGAGGACCTGCCCCAATATTAACGCAGTGCACGCAAAGAGCGGTTCCTTTCCACGAGGCTCCTCGCGTGAACCATATCACCAGGCGGCACAGCCGGTGTGAACTGCGTTCGGCTTTGTTCGCGCGTGGCCCAAGGCAGCGGCTGGGTTCCCAGAAGCCCCTGAACTGTTTGTGCGTTTGCTCCCCCAGAGTTTCCCAGGGTAAAGGCAGGGAGGGGGCGTGGAAGGAGAGGCCAGAAGAGGGAAGGGGGATCAAGGCTCACTTCCTGGGGTGCTTGCCCCCAGCCCCAACCCGGACCCCGCTCTCAGGGCTCTCTGACTACGATCTCCGCTTTTCCAGAGCGTGCGGAGAAGTCAGGCCAAAGCCTGACCCGCGTCCCCTACAAAGACACTTTTTGGAAAGGCACCACGCGGACTCGACCACGTAAGGAATCATCTTCCCCGAGGGAGGCGGGAGGCTCCTGTGAGATGGAGAGGGAGGCTAAGCCGGGGTCTGACCCTTTCCTCGGCCTCTCTCCTCTACCAGGCAACGGGACGCTGAACAAGCTGGCTGGGATTGACTTCCGGCAGCTGAGCTTGGGCCACAAACTCAACGAGAACCAGTCCGGAGAGGTTGTGCTCTTTGCCCCCTCCCTGCCCTGCACACCCTGCGCCATCCAGATGGGCGTGGGTGGGCCCAGGCCCCCAGAAAGCACCCCCCCCGTTCCTGGCTCTGTGGCCTCCGCCACCCGCCCTGACCGTTCCGCTTCCCTGCAGCTCTGGAAGGGGCGCTGGCAAGGGAACGACATTGTCATAAAAGTTCTCAAAATTCGCGACTGGACGACCCGGAAGAGCCGAGATTTCAACGAGGAGTACCCCAAGCTCAGGTGAGCTGGGGTGCCGCTGCTGCCAGGCATGGCCAGGATGCGCTCTTCTTCTCGTAGAGCCTTCCTCAGGAGGGAGGAATCGGGGTCCCTGCTCGAGGTGGAGCTTTGCTG